CAGGAGTCCAAGATGGCGAATCCATGCTGCGTTAGCTGATGGGGACCTCTGCTCATATCTCTCCTCACTCTTTGTTGTCTGTCAGTTTCTTATTCCATTCGGTGCTTGGCTGAGATCTTTATCTCTTCATTTGATGCTTAGGATTCCAGGATTGAAGTTTGTCTCTGTTTTACTTAGTTTTTTGGGTCTTTGCTGTGGAGGAACGGCATGGTGCTTTTGTCCATACTGCCATGCTGGCTTCACCTCAGCTCACTCTCATTTTTGAAGGACAACTTTGCTGAGTAAAGAATTCTTGTTTGTTGATACTTTCTTTTCAGTACTTTATATATTTCATTCCATTACCTTCTGGCCTCCAGGTTCTGGAGGAGAAATTGGTGCTTATTATTATTGAGGACCCTTAAACTGTTCTTTTGTCTTTCTGCTTTCACAACTCTCTCCTCCCCTTTGATTTTCAAGAATTTAATTACAATGTATCTTGATGTAGGCATCTTTGGATTCATTCTGCTTGGAGTTTGTGTAGGTTGATTTGATTTGCAGATTCGACCCCTTATGTTGGTCTGGAAAATTTTCTGTCAGTATATCTTGGAGTATTCTTTCTATTCCATTGTTTTTCTCCCTTCTGCTTCTGTGATCCTGATCATTCTTACGTTGAATTTCTTGACTGTGCCACATAATTCCATTTAGCTTTGTTTTTCTTAGTTCTTTTCTCTTGTTTCTCTTGAGATTTCATAAGTTCAGTCACCTGTGTCCTCTAGCTCACTTATTCTGCTTTCTGTCTACTGAATACATTGTTGAATCCCTCCCTTGCATTTTCCAATCAGTTATTTTATTCCTCGATTCCAATATTTCTATTTGGTTCTTTTTTATGGTTTCTATCTCCTCACTGAGTTTCTCATTTTTTTTCCCAATCTTCATTAATTTGTTGTTCTGTGTACTTAGCATTCTTTGAACATATCCAACAACATTGTTTGAAAGTCCTCTATTTTTCCCATTATCTAGTATTCTATATGGCTGATTTTCACTTCTTCATAATATTCTTTTCATTGGGCCGTCATATGCTTGTTTATTTTATAGTAAAGTTTATCTAAATATATTTATAATTTCTACGTTTTTCACAAATTCATTAATTTTAACTATTATCTGTATTTACTTCTTTGTTCTATTTTTAAAAGTTTGTTTTCCATTTACTAAATTGTAAAGTTGAATGTTTCAATAATTTACTTTTTCAACTTTGCCTGCTTAATAATGTAATTTTGTAGGAATATAAATTTATTTCAGCATGATTTTCTGTATATAATTTATATACATTTATATAATTTATGTTTGTGGTAGGGTTTTTGTAGACACCTTTTATCAAGTTAAGTATGTTCCTTTTATTTTGTTTTCCAAGAGATAACATTTTTAAACTTGTTATTTTGAGATAATTGTAGCTACACAGGCAATTGTAAAAAATAATATAGAGAGCTTATGAGTATCGTTTACACAATGATAACATCTTGCAAAACTGTAGTACCATGTCACAACCAGAATATTGACATTGATATGGCAAAAATACAGAGTTCCTTCACCACACATATTCCTCATGTTGCTTTCTTATAATCACACCCACTTTCTACTGTCACCATCCTGACCTGTAGCAATCAGTAATCTCTTCTCCATTTCTATAATTTTGTCATTTTGAGAATGTTATATAAATGGAATCATAAAGTATGTAACTTTTTATATTGATTTTTTTCACTCAGCAAAATTTCTTAGAAATTTATCTGAGTTGTTGGTTGTGTCAATAATTCATTTGTTTTTATTACTAGGTAGGATACAATGTTAAAATGTACCACAGTTTGTTTAACCATCACCTGTTGAAGAATGTCTCAGCTGTTTCCAGGTTTTGGCTGTTGTAAATAAAGCATCTCTGAAATTTATGTATAAGTTTTATTTTTTTTCTGAGCATAACTTAACAGTTTTTCAGGATAAATGCCCAAGACTGCGATTGCTGGGTTGTATCATAATGGCATGCTTAATTTTTAAAGAAACTGCCAAACATTATCCCAGAGTTGCTATGCCACTTGAAAAATCCCGCCAGCAAAATATAAGTGTTTTAACCATCGTTGATATTGCTACTACTTTTTTTAAATTTAGCCATTCTGATATATGTACAGTAATATCTCATTGTTTTAATAATAATTTCCCTAATGTCTTAGACTAGGTTCTCTAGAGAAGCAAAACCAGTAAAGCATATAAATATACATATATAGAGAGAGATTTATATCAAGGAAATGGCTCACACACTTGTAGAGGTAGGAATGTCCTAAGTCCGTGGGTCAGGATAGAGGCTTCTCCTGATTCACGTAGCTACAAGGGCTGGTGAACCCAAGATTGGCAGGTCAGATAGCAAGGGTCTTCCTCACAGGCTGTGAAGATGGCCGAATCCCAGGATTGGCAGGCAAGACCGCAGATAAATCACTAGCTCAAGTCCCAAGAACCAGAGGTCAGACAAACAGAAGCCAGCTACAGGATCCAGAATGAGCAAAAGCCCCTGAGCTTTGCCAGAACATCCACTTATATTTGATGCAGGCCACAAGCCCGAGAAAATTCCCTTTCAACTGATTGGCTACTCACGGCAGATCCCATCATGGGGGTGATCACATATCAAATCTCAACAAGGAAGTTATCACATTATATGACTTCCAAAACACAGAGAATCATGGCCAAGCCCAGCCAAGCTGACACACAATCTTAACCATCACACCTAAGTACTAATGATATTAAACATCTTTTCACATGCTTATTATCCATCTATTCAGTCAAATGTCTGCTAATGCCTTTTGCCCATTTTCCAATTGGATATTTTCTTTTTAATGTTGAATTTTTAGACTTCTTAATGTATTCTAGATACCAGTCCTTCGTTGTATATTTGATTTGAAAATATTTTTTCCCAATGTTTTTTTAAAATTAGATCTATGGCTGTTATTCTCATGAATGCATTCTTTTCATTCCTCACCACTAAAGATGATCAAAACATTACACTTTCATGTATAAAGGACATAAACACAAAATTATTGACTTGCCCTATAGGTATTCTGATCTCTTTCACATGCACATTCCATCCCACAGATCCTCACAATCCTGTCTCTATGCAGGATGACATCATGCTAACTAGAGATAATAAGCAAGCAAAGCAAACCCTATAGATGCCCTCTTAAGATACATATGTGCAAAAATGTGGGTTATAAACTCTACACAGATATAAGGAACTCACACAATGGGAAGTTTTTAGGGTTCCAAAATTCCAAAGCATGCCAGAAACCCCTATAAGATAATTAAGTTCATGTTCCTTGTACTACCTTATATTAATAAAAAGAAGCACAATGGATGTTTAGCCGCTCAGACATTGGAGTCAGCATATGTCAGCATATACCATGCCTGGAACTATTGTTTAAGAACTTGCTTATCAGATGACATGGCAGTCTGTCAGCTTCTAGTGGGACCTTGTGTAAATGGGCACTATCGCTGGCCTGGCTCCAACCTGAACAATCCACCAGATCAAGTGGTGCAAGAAATGTCCATGATGATGAGGGTGCTTTGTAGAGTCTGCAGAGTCACAGTGCAAATAAGTAGGGTTCTAGAGCAAGATGATGCCATCTGTGGCAGAGAACTGTTTGCTTCAGGAAAAGGAGTGCTCTTAGGTCATGATACGCCCTGAGCATCTGAATACAGGAAATCAAGCTATTATGTGATAGAAGCTGCTCTTTGTGTGTTGGATTCTCACACTAACCAAGTGAAACATTCCAGCTGGTCCAATAACAATTCATTGAAAAATAGCAGTAGTCCTACATCTAGACTTAAACTTGAGCAGATCCACAGGGGACTAGAACATTACAGAAAGAAATGGCTGAGATTCCAAAGTCATCCAATCTGTGGCCAACCTAATTAGAGAAATGACATAATGAGGACAAGTCATTCTTAAATGTACCTGACCTGGAATTTTTCCATTTTCAAAGAGATTTGAAAGAAAATTTAAATGAAAAATTGTCATCCTCAGTGTTATGTATCCATATGTATCTATATCTCAAGAAGGCCACTGATACTAAATAATTTCAGGGTGAAGCTGGAAAAGGGTAGCACTTTTGGTGTATCTTCTAAAAAAGAGGTTTAATCCAGCTGTCTTCCTTTAAGCAAATATGGGATATGAGGTATTGTAAAATTAAAAAAAAAAAAAGATAAATTAGTTTTAACAGGACAATAAGTTTGTTTTCTGATGGAAATCTCATCTGTCACAAAATAGGAAAAAAGCCAAAGAATTCATGTGAAAGACCATGTTCAAAGCTTGCATTGCTGTTTATGCCTTTTTGACCTGGAGTAAAAAATTGAATCTCAGATTCCTTTTGGAAATCTATGCGCTATTTTTTTTTTTTTTTTTTACCAAATAGAGAAGATCAAGAATGAAGTTTCAGTATCAATTCTTCTGGAAAGAACACATTTTAATAATTCAATTGTGGAATAAAAACATCAATAATTTATTTGACATTTTAATTCAAACTCTATCCATTGCCCATGTTACCAATGTTCTCGTAATAATGTATTCATTTCAAATCCAGCTGAAGCAAATCTTCTTGGAATCAAAGAGTAGATTATTCGCAGATAGGAAAAAAAAGTACATGAATATATCAGGGACTTACCTTGCTTGCCTGACTTTAAATCTTATTTACTTTAAATAAGTCAGGCAAATTGTTTTTTAAATATCTTAGTTCATCAATTAATTTTTTAAAGTATATGGGAAAAGGTGCTTTGACAAAATAAAAATCACTAAAACGAATAAACATGGAACAAATTCAGCCCATTAGTTGCAATGATTGTAAAGATTTTCATAATATACTATTTCCTAATGTATTGTTACTGCTATATATTGGTAACCTAAGTCATATTTCCATTGTACAAGGGCAGCAAGAATAGATACTTTGGAATCGTTATGAATCATGAAGTTTTCATACTCTCCTAGTATTATCAGACTAATTTATGAGTAAGTTTTGCACAGAATTTTCTTCAGAGCCTCTCCTATGTCCTTGTTCCTTGGGCTGTATATGAGGGTGTTCAACATGGGAGTGACAATGGTATAGAATACAGAGAGATCCTGGTCCTGTTCTGGGGAGAGCAAGGCACTGGGAGTCATGTAGATGACATTGGTTGGACCAAAGCAGAGAAATACCACCATCAGATGTGAAGAGCATGTGGCAACAGTTTTATTTCTTCCCTTGGAAGAATTTATGTGGAGAACCCTAAGGAAGATGAGAGTATAGGAAGTGAGAACGAGGGCAAAGGGTATGAGGAGAAATATACTTCCCATTACTGACACTACTTTCTTATAAGATGAAGTGTTCTCACATGACAGCTTGAGAACTGCCTGTATCTCACAGAAAAAATGGTGTATTTCTCTTGAGCCACATCTGGGAAAATGCATGGCATATGTGGTTTGAACTAGGGAATTGATAGCTCCCCCAATCCAGGACACAATGGCCATCTGCAGGCAAACCTCAGAATTCATAATAGCCACATACCTTAAGGGGTTACTAATAACCACATATTGGTCATAGGCCATCAGAGTGAGCAAAATACATTCACTGCCACCAAGGGCAGAATGGAAATAGACCTGAGTCCCACAGCCAATGTATGAAATATATAATGTCCTTGAGAAGAAGTTGGTTAACATCTTGGGGACAATAATGGAGATGAGGGAAATGTCCATGAGGGAGAGCTTGCTGAGCAGGAAGTACATGGGGCTGTGGAGCCGGGGATCCAGAGAGAGGAGGAGGACCAGGGTGGTGTTTCCTGTGATGGCAACAATGTAAAACCCAACATGGTGGTTTCATTTTCTCTTCTCATGTTTTGTTTAACACTAGAAGAATGAAAATGAGAAACATATCAGTTTATTTTGGGTAAAATATTTATTATGGAAAATATATTGACTTTGTGATGAAATTACAATTTACAATTCTGTCCCAAATCTGATCCATCCTTGGAGATCAACAATTTTAATTTTAATTTTAATTTATTATTTACCTAATAAGTCAGTAAAATGTACATTAATAAATGTTCTTACCAACAAATGGCTTTCTACATGCACAAATTCAGGTAAGTAACTCATATGTTGCAATTTCAAAATTTTTGGCAAGTAGCTACTTCAGGTTGCTTGCGATAAATTTGAATTTCAATATGATTAACCTCAGTAGTTCTGTAATAGCACAGTGGTGTTTTGTATTACCACCATTATTCCATTTTAACAATACCTCTCCTTGTGCAGAATAGCATGCAAGAAACACTGTAATTTCTTGATTTCCTTTCTCCATTTTCTGGGCCGATAATCAGGAAAGTATAATATCATGAGAAGCAGTTCCAGCTGTTTTATTGGAGGAGGCTTGTTATCTCCACCTTGGTAAGAGTGTCCAGAAGTGCAGTTCTAGGCTATCAATTCACCATTAATTCTCAATGAAACAGCATTGTGGGGTGTCCATTGAGTGCTCCAATGACAGATAGGACTGCCCTCCCTCACTGTACTATGAAGATACAGAGACTACAAGAGGTTTACTATAAAGTTCCAAGCATACCTTACCTTTAACTGACAGTTGCTTCTATAGGGAAAAATCACATGCATTTTCCAACATGTCATATGGCTTTTCAGTTGGAAGGGTGTATCAGATTATACCTAAACTATCAAAAATTGAAAATGTTTAGCACTGTTTGAATGAAGACAGCTCTCTCAGCTTAGGCAATACATATCTTATATATAACTTATGTTTTATATATATACACAACATAACTTAAATATAGAACTTATAATTTATATATATATATATATAGTCGCTATGAGTCAGAATCAACTCGATGGTAACAAGTATTTTTTTAAATATATATTACTTCAACCCTATTCCCACTATTTCATAATATGAGTAATACTGTAGTATCAGCAAGTTCTGTCAGAATCAGATCTCAACATCTGCTTTAAAATGCTGGACTTCCACCAGATCCCTCTCATGTCTCTCATTACCCTATCAGTTCCGCTTTTACTTAACACATACTGAGTGAGCAACTTCTATGATCAAGGAACCATGCTGATTGATGTGGGAGACGTGAAGCTTAATAGGATATGTTCCTTCTATGACGACTTAGGGTTCCATGGCAGAAAAAAAGAAAAACCTATAAATCATCTAACATGAAGCAGTAACAGATCAGAGATAAAGCTGTCTCTCTTTTTGTATATAGCCATGTCTGATATCTAAATCTACATCTATAAGGTGTCTTTTGTACCAACGGACTGACGGGGCAAAGTCAGACACTATCTGAAGGAAGGTCCTCAGCCCCTGTCACATGGCAGGCAGTGTGCAGGATTTTCATACCCCAGAGCCCCTGTGTTTCCAGGACATCAGGCTGCCTTCCATTTCAGAGATGTATCCGTGGCCTAAAAGGAGATACAGGTGTTCAGGACCAGAAAATGAAGATTTTGGACTTTATTTACTTCAATATAAACAGGGAGTCAGATGCATGAACAAATGTAAAATATTACTATGGAGAAACATTCTGCAATTTTTGAACATGCTGGATGACTAAGCTAATGGTGTCATGTCTTGTCCTATTTTATCAAAAACAAACTACCCGTACACAGAAATTCTGATTTACTACTTCACTGACTTTATGAGCAAAACCTGAGACATAGCATTTATCCGTAAATGGAATCATGAAGCCTGTAGTAAGTAGAATCACTCACATACTTTTTTGCACTCTCATCATTACCTCTCACAATGTGATCATATTCTGATGCCCTGTATCTTGCTTCGCTGAAAAGATTCCTGCTTCATGGTCCAGGGAATGGTTTTATGTTCAGCTTTCTCATGATACCTGCTGCATTGCACTTCAGATTCCATAACCTGTGAGTGAGCAAGTGGCAGTGTACTTGGCTATTTAGGAGAAGTCAAGGAAGAATCCAGGTCTTGTATAAACAGGGGTCACGGTGCCTCTAGAGGAGTATCCTTGGGGAACTTCTATCCCTGGTCTTCAATTATCTTGTGTTTATGTCATCAGGTTCAGGTTGAACTTTATCAGGAATAATTTCTAGAGGATAATTACGTGCTCCTTTTACTGGTTCTTTTGAGAATACCCTTCCCTTCCTCCTGCTCATCACCAGCATGTTCTAATAATTATACTGTGATCATAGATGGTATAGGATTACCTTATGCATTTTAAATTCTGTTTCCAGTGTACTCATCCAGATAACAGGATCCTGTCTCTAGAAGCCCTTTTCGGTGTCAACAGTGCCTGAGGGATTTATCCCAAAAGGAAGTTGTCATAAGAGAAGTCTCTCTCCTCCATATTACAGGATGAAAAATACGTCATGGGTTTCATAAAAAAATCTGAAATGGTCACATGAGGATGTTAACAACATGAGTGCATATTCTTTGTGTCAGTCATACAGGCAAATATAATTAAAAATTTAAAGCGTTAGGAGTTCCGGCAAAATGGCGCTCTAGGCAGAAGCACCACGCCATCCCTCCACAGCAAAGATCTGAAAAACTAAGCCAGAGAATACAACAATTCTGAAACCCTAAAACATCAAATGAAGAGATAAAGAACTCAGCCAAGCACCAAATGGAGTGAGAATACTGACAGAGAATGGAGAGCGAGGAGAGATTCATGCAGAGGTCCCCTACCAGCTAACGCAGAGCGGATCCAC